CCCTCCCCCCCCCCTCCCCTCACCCTGCAACCCCCCTCTGCCCCCAGATGACCGGGGGCGCGCCGTCCCTGCATTGGCGGCTAAACCCTAAACCCTAAACCCTAAACCCTAAACCCTCATCGTAAACCCTCGCTGCAGCACCACCCAGAAGCTGAAGCCATAGCAACTGCTGAGCCCCAAGGAGGGCCTGCAGGTCCCCACGTTTAGCAGCAGCAGCAGCAGCAGCAGCAGCGACAGCGGCAGCAACAGCTGCAACAAAGCGGCAGCAGCAGCACGAGCCGCAGAAACATAGAAACAACAGCAACAACCGCAGTAACACATCAACTACAACTGCAGCAGCAGCAGCAGCAGCAGCAGCAACAGCAGCAGCAGCAGCAGCAGCAGCAGCAGCAGCAACAGCTGCATCTTTGATAATGTCTCCATCTCTTAGATTCCCTGATTGTTCTTTTGTTGAGCGTGATGCTGCTGCCCCGGAAGGAAATGGCTGCAGCAGCAGCAGCAGCTGCAGCAGCAGCAGCTGCAGCTGCAGCATCTGCTGCTGCAGCAAGGATACATGTGGGGGTACTGGCTGCGACACCAGCAACGGCAGCTGCCGCAGCTCCTGCAGCAGAAGCAGCGTAGAGAGAGAAAACACAGATCTCCCCCCCCTGAGGGGCCCCCTTCATGCTGCTTGGCTTGAGGGCCCCGCAGCAGACTCAGCAGCAGCAACAGCAGCAGCAGCAATAGCAGCAGCAGCAGCAGCACCCCCACAAACAACAGCAACAACCAACGGTCAAAACTCAGGCCTATGGGCTGTAGCGCTGCAGCAATCTGCTGCTGCTGCTGCTGCTGCTGCACTCATGCGCAGGAGCCCCTCCGCCCCCAGCTTAGTTAGCGGGGTGCTGCGTGATTGTCTACAGAGCAGGCAGCAGCTGCAGCTGCTGCAGCAGCAGCTGCTGCTGCAGCAGATGCAGCAGCTCAAGCTGCACCCGCAAGAGCAGCAGCAGGAGACGGATGGGCGGCCCCATGAGCTCGAGTCTTCGCTTGAACAGCAGCAGCAGCAACTGCAGCAGCAGCAGCAGCAACTGCAGCAGCAGCAGCAACAACTGCAGCAGCAGCAACTGCAGCAACAACAGCAGCAACTGCAACAGCAGCAACTGCAACAGCAGCAACAACTGCAGCAGCAGCAACTGCAGCAACAGCAACTGCAGCAGCAGCAGCAGCAACTGCAGCAGGAACAACTGCAGCAGGAACAGCTGCAGCAGGAGCAGCTGCAGCAGGGCCACCACCAGACAGCCGCTGCAGCAGCAGCAAGAGCAGCAGCTGATGCATTTGATTCTGCAGGCACGCAGCAGCAGCAGCAGCAGGAGCAGCAACTGCCGCACTTGCAGCTGCAGCAGCATAGGCAACTGCAACAGCAAGCGCAGCTGCAGCAGCCGGAGCAGGAGCAGCAGCAGTTGCTGCTGCAGCAGCAAGGGGAAGAGGACCAGCAGCAGCAACAGCAGCAGCAGCAGCAGCAGCAGCAGCAGCAGTCGCTGCCCCAGCAGCTAGAAGCAGCAATTCCCAACTCTCGGCAGCAGCGGCAGCAGCTGCGGCAGCAGAAGAGTTTAGCTGCAGCAGCAGCAGCAGCAGCAGCAACAGGCAGTGGTGCTCTGGGGGGCAGCAACAAGTTCGGATCTCTAGCTGAGAGCATTGCAGCAGCAGCAGCAGCACCAACTGCAGCAGCAGCAGCAGCTGCTGCTGCTGCTGCTTGCTGCAGCAACTCCAGAAAGAGGCGCTGCACAAGGCCCCCCAGGAACCGTGCAGGTAGCGGCAGCAACAGCAACAGCAGATACAGCAGCAGCAGCAACTGCAACTGCAGCAGCAGCAGCAGCAGCAGCACACGCACCCGGACGAGGACGCAGAGCGATGCCACTCATTCTATGCTAAAAAAGAAAACACACCAAGTAGAAGATCAGTTCTTTCGGTGAGGGTTTAGGGTTTAGGGTTTAGGGTTTAGGGTTTAGGGTTTAGGGTTTAGGGTTTGTCTTGGCTGATGGACTTTCTTTCTTCTTGCCTAATATTTATTTGTTTCTATTTATTTATTTATTTATCTTTATATATTTATTTCTATATTTATTTATTTATATTTATTTATTTATATTATCTATTTATTTATATTTATTTATTTTATTTATTTATTTTTATATTTATTTATTTATTTATATTTATTTATTTATTTTATTTATTTATTTATTTATTTATTTATTAGGATAAAGATGTGTCAGAATTTCTTGAATGGCAGCTGTTCTAAGAGCAACAGCAGCAGCATTTTTTGCGTTTTCTCCCTTTATATATATTTTTTTTATTTTTTATTTATATTTATTTATTTATTTATATTTATTTATTTATTTATTTATATTTATTTATTTATTTATTTATTTATTTATTAGGATAAAGATGTGTCAGAATTTCTTGAATGGCAGCTGTTCTAAGAGCAACAGCTGCAGCTACGCGCACAGCGCCGAGGAGCTCCGCGAGCCCCCGGCCTTAACTAAGACCAAGATGTGTGTACACTGGCAGGCAGTAAGCTAAACCCTAAACCCTAAACCCTAAACCCTAATATATTCTACTCTCTCTCTCTCTCTCTCTCTCTCTCTCTCTCTCTCTATTGTCTTAGTCGCTAATTCCTTATTCAAATTTTCATCTTTTTAGGGTTTAGGGTTTAGGGTTTAGGGTTTAGGGTTTAGGGTTTAGGGTTTGTGTTCTGCAGGGTACGTGCCCGGCTACTGACGGCTCCTGTCTCTTTGCTCACGGCGAGGCCGAGCTCCGCAGCACCAGCGACTACTACAAGGTATGTCTCCCTGCTGCTGCTGCTGCTGCTGCTGCTGTTGCTGCTGCTGCTGCTGTTGCTGTTGCTGCTGCTGCTGTTGCTGTTGCTGCTGCTGCTGTTGCTGCTGCTGCTGCTAGGGTTTGCGGTGGGGGTACTCTGTTTGTGAGGGCTTGGGGGGCTGGCAGCAGCCCCTGCAGCAGCAGGACTGCATGCAGTAGAAGGGGGGATGCAGCTTTGCTGCTGCTGCTGCTGCTGCTGCTGCTGTATTCCCCCCCGTAGGAGTGTGCAGAGTGTTATTGCTGCTGCTGCTGCTGCTA